AACGTGTGGTCTAAGGTTTAGGGCTTAGGGAGCCTCACAAACTGCGGTTTGGGCTTCAGGTAGGTCGGGCTTTAAGACTGTGGGTTTGGGGTTGAGGGGATCAGGGCTCAGGGCTTTAGGACTTTGGGTTTGGGGGTTTTGGAAAGATTCAGGGCTTTAGGACTTGGGCTTTAGGAGTTTGGGTTTGGGGGTTTGGGAAAGATTCATAGGGCTTTAGGACTAGGGCTTTTTGTTTCTTTGTTGAGGGCTCTTTTCTGAATGCTCAGTGTTTAGCATTGGGACTTGGCCCTACCATTTGCTTCTGCTCTTCGTCCTTTGGCCTCAGTTACAAGTACTGTATCAGTCATTACTACGCATCTCTGGTGATGCTAGTCCTGCGCACTCATATTGTAGTCTTAATTGTTAATCAGAATAGGTGCGGGGTAAAATATATCGGAACAAGAGTAAGGAACCGTTAGCAATAATCCTATTGCTAATTAATTTGGCCTCTATATTGCAGAAGCGCCCAATCTCCCTCTGTCAGAGGCCGCGGCAGCCCTGGAAGCAGCCTCAGTGCAAGTGCAGAGGAGCTTGCAGGTGTGGATGGGATACAACACAGGAGCCTCTTCGATTGAGGACCTTCTGCAGCCCAGTTCAGGGAAGTGAAAGATAGGGTGACAGCTAATGGTCTGCTGATTGGTCATGCGAATCAGAATTGACCCTGGCCGATGGAAAGCTGCAAGCTTGCGCAAACTTTCTTGATCGACACTCCTCCAGACTGTGGGCTCGGCGGGTGAAGCTGGATCCAACACGCATTTGTAAGCTGCACGCATCACCGCTTGAACGTTCTGGGATCATCCCGATTCCCAACAGATGCATGGCCCTTGAAGTGTTGGATCAGAAAACGAACTCTGGACACTTCCACTGCCGAGGCCCTGACGGGCCTGGTGCTGGCCGGGTTTGTGTCAACTTCCGGCCTCTTTCGTGACTTTCTTCAGGGTGTGCCCGAAACCCACCTCCGGGAAGACGCAACCCCTGCTGAGCTGCTTGCGTGACACAGCAGACTTTCAAACAGGCGCTCACCCATCACACATTCAAGTCTCTCCAACTCTCGCAGAAAGCACGGCGCACAGGCTGCCTCAAAGCCTCATCGTTCGTGGACGGGTCTGCGGGCAATGCTTCAAACCTCGCTTCTTCGAAGCGATCGGATACCAAAGTGCACACAGGCAACGTATCTGTGCCACATGAGTACGGGATGCTTAGGGAGGGACAAGGGCCACGCAGTATTCGCCCGAGCAGGGTGCTGTGTCTTCAGCATGGTGTGCTCGACTAGTGCTGCCAACACCACTGGTCAGTCAAGGGTCGAAATCACGGTTGCTCTTGGCGATGTTTGTCCAAGATCCTGGCGCTCTTGGCGATGTACTGCTTGCAGCCACTGGTCCTGGAAGGGTGTACGTAAATTGATGCAACTTGAGCCTCCGGTGGTGCTGAGGAGCCTTTGGGGACACTCCGGATTGCTGCAACCGAGGATCTGGCGAGCAGGGACTCTTGAAGCTCAGGTTGCCCGGAATGACAGTTTAGGTTCATGTAGCCTCTCATTATCAATTCCCTCCTGAAGATTAGGGCCAGGGGTTCAGCTCCTGTTTCTTTGGCTCCCCGAAATATGCAGGACCCGGCAGATGGTCAACTGGGTGGTTGTCAAAACTATGGTCCCTTTTTCTGTCCTTCTTATAATACGGCACCTATTATTTAGGGTACCCCCAAAAGGGACCATAATTTTGACAACTACCCAACTGCAAGTTCTGGGTTCGTCAACCCGAGTAAACCCCCAGGCAATACCTTACTGTAGCTGCTTTGTTTCGAAGCCCGGAAAGCCTCTGGCTACATAATCTGATATTATATAATACAATGTAACATAGTACCGTACCATCTAGTATGATACGGTATACCCTAATAATATCACATGACATGACATAACCTAACATATCACATTGGGATATCAAGTACCAAAACATAACAAAATTCAACACACCACACTAACAATGTAGCGTGCCACAAAATGCGTCTAATATGTTTTATTATAATATGGTAACATCAAAAAACTTGTTGCCACCTCCTTGGCTCGTGGTGCTTCTTTCAAGTCCATCCTGGCCAGTACGACCAGACGAGGTTCGGCAGCTTCAGATTCGGAGGGCTCAGTAGGACATAAGGATAAGAATAAGTCTAAGCACAAGGATAAGAACAATACTACGAACAGCTACAGCAATTATGATGATCATCGTCATAACAATGGTTGGGTTAAAGGCAGGAGTTGTGGGTAAGCAAGGTGTCCAAAGGCAACGCAAGGCTTGTCTGAGAGCTGGCCAAACCTCCCCAAAATCCATGAACTAAGGAATATGCCATAAATCCTGTTAGGGATTCTAGTAGAATCATTCGAACATATTTTAGGATATTTCCTAAACTAAGGGATTTTGGAAGGTCCGGGTGGCTGCTTACCAGTCGAGCTTAGAGTGGCTCTGGATCTTCGGTGCCGTTTTCGCCCAGGGGCCTTGGTAGCCTGGCTACAATCTACTATAATATGCTGTAGGGATTAGGGTTTAAGGGTTTAGGGGTTTAGGGTTGAGGGTGGTTTAGGGTTTAGGGCTAATATACTTAGACTATGATATACTAAGGTACTACAACACAGTGTAATATACTATACTATGACATTCTAAGATACTATAATACACAGTTGAAGTAGAGCCTTAGTAGTACCGAAGGTCTGACGGCCGTCAAGCTGCTACGAGTCGCAGGATGACGCTGACGGTCATTTCTAGCACACCCTTCATCTAGCAGCGACGGGCTTCCACTATGATACTACTACAGTATAGTAATTAGAGTATATTATAATATACTATAGTAAGTTGCATGTATATTATAGTAAATTCTTGGTGAAGAAGACGTAGGGGGCCTGGAGAGCGCTTTGGACGTCCGTCGCATCCGTCTCCATTGGCTGGGGCCCTAGGGCCGCCTCTGCAAGAGGCGCACCTGGCTCTTCTCTTTGCTCCGGCTCTGATGCCACTGCATCGGCATGCGGAGTCTCTGCCTGCAAAGAGCATCTTGCACATACATATACATATGTATATATATATATATATATGTATATATATATATACACATATAGATGGAGATGTACACACATGTATCCATTCTTCTTCTTGCTATGGTCTCTTATTTAGCTATACAACTCTTATGATTCCTGAGCTTATTGTTAGAATTATCACTTGTAGGACTATGATTGCAATTATTACTGTTGTGCCGTCAAGTCCTGTTAAGCAAGATGAAGACTGGAACGATCTCCTCACAACATCAGATTCCATGGTCCAGCGACTGCTGCAAGCCCCAGCCCGCAACCGTCGCATAGTGCAGTATAACCTTTGGCTATGTAGAAGTGAAATGATATGATATGACATGATACGGCAAAATTCAAAACAGCTGTAATCAAAATACATGAACCATCGGCCTCTTCCGCAGTCATCGAAGTCTCCATGGCAAACTTGGCCGTTGTAAGGACTGTGCATGCGTCCCAGTATCACAGGCTCCACATCTAAGTGACATCGATCTTTATATGCTATACTACAACCTTTTCCCTGAATAACTTTACATAACATAACATAACATAATAGAGTAGCAGTGTAAGATTCAAGTCTTCTCGCTTGGCACTGGCTTGAGATGCATAAGCACCGACTCGCGGCTGCATGGCAATGCATCGGAAAGGCACTCGCCGTTAACCGTAAGCCTGTGTGTGTAGTGTGGTATAACCTACAAAAAGGTGCTATACCATTGTATTGTAGTATACTGAACCTTTAGTATATCGTAATATTGGCAACATCGGCTGTTTGTCCTTCCATGCCTATTTACATGAGCAGATTTGTTCAACCTAGGAGCCACACCCGAGCCCTGCGCCTCTTCTGAAATACTATCGGGTTTTTTTTTGCTCGTCTGCGAAGTCCGCATAGCAGGGCTTCTCTGCTTTGTTGAGTTAACTACGGATCGACGGGTCAAGAACCGCCACTTCAAGTGGGTCTGCTAAAGCTGACTTTTCTTTCCAACCTGCTATCTGAACATGGGAAAGTGCTACTCGTTCATCGTAAGGGTCGGCCTTAAGAGTCATCCTCTCCTTGTTACGGGAATCATGTCTTGGTCATACTGGTAGCTACTCCCAGAGTTACACTGGCTACTGCCACTGCGCATCTTCTGCTGTCGATACTCTCAATGTGGCTGATCGTGACTGGCCAGCTCAGGACTCGAAAGAAGGCTGCTCTCTGGCCTTAGCAGCAAAATCTGATGTGTTCGATCGAACTCTACCGGCCCGGACAAACCGAGAAGTCATGAACCGTGCATCAGCACCATCATCCAACATCATCACCGTCATCATCATCATCATCATCATCATCACCATCACCATCATCGTCATCATCATCGATGTCACCGAGAAACATCTTTGACGTGATCGTAGAGACAAGCCGACAACAAAGGGACCCGTTTGCGTAAGCGAAGGAACTGAATCAGGCTCACGACACTACTGACCCTGTTCATGTCAATCCGGGCAGCAGTCTTGAGAGACATGGAGTGGGCACCCGATCTAGGGGGGAGACTCTCGGAGTGAGATCGACTGATTTACTCAGAAGGAGGAGGGTGAGCGGGGGCTCGCAGCTCAGATTCCTGCGGCTTCCAGCATTTGCAGAAGTTGCCTGGCACTTGGAGCCGCACACTGGCACCCTAGACTCACTAGATTCGCGAACTCAGCTGAATACTTGCGCGAAGCACGCATGTTCTGAGAAACAGAACAACAGGAACTCGGTAAGGCTTGTTTACAGCCTTGATTCACGACGACGGTCGAAGTTGAGTCGAAACGGCATGCTTTCCAACGCTACACATCAAGACATGTTTACGTGATCTGGCCTACGTCGGACCTTCAAGAGTAGCACAAATGGTGAGCGAGAGCAAAGTACATCAACACTTCATGCATACATCCTCCACGCTAGTGCGCAAATGCGCCATCGTCTGCAAGGCTCCACGAAATTTGTTTTGGTTCGGGTTCTCGTTGAGGTGCCTGCAAAATCAAACAAATGCCTGTTGGTCATATTCCATCATTTCATCATTCTGCATCATCGTCCCCCTTCCTCTGGCTGAACCCACGTCATCGTTAAGTTTTCGTTTCGTACTCATTCGCAATTCCTCCCTCTTGCTGTCCTGGATGTCGTTTGGTTGGGGGTCTGTTGTAGGCGCTGCAGCCATCAAACCACAAAATGAAACCAAAACTCTGGAACCGCCCACACCCAGAAAGCCTCTTGTCATCACCAGAACCTTCCTCCAGCAGAAATCAAATTCCGACAATGGCTACCCCAAATCTTGCCGGAAGTACTGCAATTACCATTGCAGTCATAGTGGCCATAGCAAAACAGGTACATTTTGAAACGCAATAACCGAAACACATCAGTAGCAATGATCTATAGTCCGAACAAGGATAGCACCTGAGAGCAACATCACAAACACACCAAACCCAAAAACCCCAAATCCAAAACTCTAAACCTGATACCCTAACTGTATATACCCTCCTAAACCCTAAACCCCTAAACCCCTAAACCTCCAAACCCGGATCTCATGCCCTCAGAGGGACGCGCCTGTCATCGAGGCCCAGCTCAGGGAGAGCCCAGGTGGCCGCACTGACATCCTGGCCATTAGGTGGCTTAGGGATTTTGAGGGTTAGGGTTTGGGGTTTAAGGTTTAGGGTTTAGGGTTTAGGGTTTAAGGTTGAGGTTTTGTCTTACACCTTTCTCCGACTGCATGGAAATCCACATGACATGGCTTAGGTTTAGGGTTCAAGGGGACCTTCACAATTAGAATAAGGCTTTGGTCTATAGTTTCCTGTAAGTATAGTTCTATAGTTTAAATGCAGTTACTGCCGGTTCAGAACTTTACGCCCGGTCCTTTTCTGCGTGAGGTCTTAGGGTCTCTGCTCTTGCAGTCTGGTACCGTGGAAGGCTGTCGAGAGCCTCCACAGCTCCCAGTACTCCGAGGAATCTTAAATCGAAGAGCTTGGAGGATCATGGGACTTAGTAAGTAAGGTTATAAGTACCCTAATTGGGGTTATGATCATAGTTGCCTTATTTATAACCCTAGCTACTAAGTCCAATGATCCTCCAAGAGGGGCCGCACAGATGCGGAGTCTGCTTCTCTGAAGCAATTGTCGGCTCAAGGTGGCATCGACGGGCTTCAAACGCCAGGAGTGCCCGAAGCAGCCCCTATGGTAGGTTCACGCAAAGCAGGAAAAGCCATATCAAACCTTGTATCCAAAGATTAACTGCTTCAAACTACTTCAACTTCAGCTGACAAGCATAGCTTGTTTCACTCTGCTTCAACCGGATCCAGTACATCAGGAGGCCGAGGCGATTCGGAAAGGTCCCGTTCAAAGACCAATACGAGCTCCGTGTCGGTGCCCATGGCCTTGTTCGATTGCATCTGTGCCACGAGGTCTTCCTTATGGCAGGTTTTGCCGAGCAAATGTTACAAGTATCCTATTCGGAAGTAGTGAATTGAGCAAACAAATTCAGAGCCCACCCATTGCCCATCCTTTTCAGGGACCTAGGTCTTCAGCTTAACGTCTGTGTGAGCTGACCTGCAGCCAATAATGAGATAATCCAAGATCACCAAGAATTTCAGGCATACCTATAGCCAGCCTGTGGCGCATTTGGACTCAGCTGGGCGTCGACTGTATTGATGAAGGATGTGTCTAGGATTGTTTGCCTCCACCGCCCCAGACCTCCCACGACGTTGGAGACGAAATCTTCAGTCTTGATGCCCAGGTTCGCCCTGTCCATCACCTGGTCAACAGCTACCCAAAAGTGCTTTTGCCGTTGGCTGAGTCGTGCTTTTTGTCACTGCTGCTGCTGCAGTTATCCTTACATTGTCGACCTCACTATCACTCGCAGCGTCTTACGCGTTGCAAGTTGGCTTGGTCTTATAACTTCGATCTGGTGTTCGCGGAGCTTAGACACATCCAAGGCACCACGGTCACAGCGTGGAGGATGTCGCCTGCGGCTTACCCGGATAGCACCACAAATCACCATTCCTTGCATCCGAAGTACACGTATGACATCCAAAACCATACCAAAAGATTGAAAGAGAGCTTTGGCTGCCTTCCGCACAGCTTTGTAGAGTATTGTGGAATTCTTAGTTGATCAGCTATGCTCAACCTGAACTTTGATGCGTTGCCTCGTGGACCCTTCTGCCGCTTAGGAGTTCCGACCCCAGCCTGCCAGGACCACGCCGCCTTCCCAAGCTTGACCGCCCTCGACCACGTCTTCCACCAAGAAGGCTCCCTCGAGAAGAAGGGTGTTTCCCGGAGAGCCCAATACCGTGCCAATACCCCTGAATGAAGGAGTATACCTTAAATCCTACAGGGCCCCATAATTCAAATATTTGTTCCTTATTTCAGGGGTATTGGGCTCTCTGGGTTCGGCAGCCTATCCTTCGAGGGCCTCGGCCTCAGTGCATTAGGCTTAGCAGGTGCAAGTGCCGGGGGATATCTGTCGCTAGCTCACCCCCACTTGCCTTCAGTGGTCCACTGTTGCACTTTGTCAGCTGCAGGCCAAGTGGAAGGCAAGCTCGAACCATGTAAAAAGCCACTTCGCGACCATCGGTGAAGTAGCGGACAAGTTCTAATCTCTCATTTCCCTGCTCCGGAAGCGGTACCTCGAAGACCAGGGGCTTCATCGCAGCAGTCTGCTGCTGTACTTGAGCACTACGTCCTCCGGCCTGAAGGCCACCGCCACTGCGTAAGGTCTCTTCCAGCTCTTGGTTGCATGCAGCCAATTTCTCATAGCTGTCTTGCCAGTCAACTTCACATGCTTCTGGCAAGTCCGAGGACTCGCCTATGTCAAGGCTACGCAGCTGCTCTCGCAGGAGCTCGTTGCGCTCCATCTCTGCGTCGTATGCCGCCTTCCAAACATCTTCTGAGCTGGCATGGACCTGGGTAGTTTTCTAAATTAGGGTCCCTTTTGGGTCCTTTTTATAAGGGTGCCGTACTATATTGGGACCTAAAAAGGGACCCAATTTTGAGAACTACCCACCTGCAGATCCTGCAGCCTTTCAGACTTCTGTGGGCGAGAACCTGCGAAGCACAGAAGACGAGAGCTGCTCCCAAGCACCTGCAAGCTTGGGACTAGAATCGGATTCCAAGAAAAACCCTGTTCAGCTCTCGCAAGACTTAGAGACCATAGTATGGGTTTCCGAAAATAGAGGACCATAATATAGCATCCTAAATAGCAGGATCCTTGTATACCGACCTATAATAAGGTCCCCCTTATTTTCGGAAACTCCCGTATAGAACTGTCAGGGCTGAACTTTGCTGCGACACGGCGCACAGCACGCTGAGAGCACAAAGCGATCGCTTCCAGCGGAGATGGGGAGGGCCCATGGCACAGACAAGCAGCGAAAGGACAGGCCTTGCCACAATGGAGGAATGCAAGCATGCAGCACCGACTTCAGGTGTCCGCTGTTCGTCAACACTGGAAATGCGCTGATGTGTGTATCAAGTGTTGGCAAAATTCAAAAAGATGAATTGTGTGCTTAAGCCCTCTTGTATACATGGAACCATCATGAACTACATTGCGTTGAACCTTGGCAAAGCACGCATGGTTCTGATCCGCAATGCTTCAAAGAGAGGCATGCGCACACCCAACAACAAATGCACGATGACAGCTCTAGTTTCACTGCCTCTCGCATATCAACGCACACGCACACACAAACACACATGTATATATATATATATATGTATATATATATATATGTATATATATATATATATATATGCTAAACATACCTACCTGCAGACATGCACGCAGAGAAATAGGAAGATAGGCAAGCAAATACAGAAATGGACAGCTACTTGTGCAGCTAGATTGTGATGGTAGAATGACACTTTACTGTGATCTTGCAGCGCCACAACAAGAAACCCGCCGACCTAAACCTACTACAAAGTTCGATGGCGCTCTCCGAAAACAAGGGACCTCACCCACGAAACAGATATCCTGAAATATCGGAAACCCTGTACCAGCATGATCCAACTAGGAAGGCTTCGACGATGTGCTTGCCGTCTGTCTCCTTTGAGCCCTTTTTTATTTTGCCAATCCAGTTAGAACGTCTGAAGGGCTGAGGTAGTAAACCTGAGACGAAAAGACTATCATCTGCACGGTTCAGGGTTCAGAGACCATCCCCACACTTCCCAAGCGACTCCATCCTAAACCCTAAACCCTAAACCCCAAAACCCTCGCACCGCGTCGTCGAGCCGGGCCCCAGTCTCATCCAGGACCTCCCGAAGCCTGTCGAATGTTGCAGTTTCTCTATGCATGTGTGCGGTTTTTTTGAATTTGCACAGCCATAGTCACATATAGACATGATATATACACACACATGCATTCCAGCATATGTATGTATATGCTAATCCACATGTGTACAAATACGTATTATATATGTATATCCATAGATACGTATGCATCTATAAATAAATAAGCAAATATATATGTAGGATGATCATCGATCGAATGGTGATGATATGTATGATGGACTCAACTGCGGTTCCCTCTCGGAAAACCGCAAGTGGAACATCCAGACCAACTTGGTGGAAATCAGCCAACATGGTTCCTGCACCTCTTTCATTTCCACCCGAGCTTTCTCTCGGACAAGAACTTGTCATTTCTGATGACCGCTTTGCCGCGACTCTGCCGCTGGCCTTTCGGTAGAACCGTGCTTTACACACTACAACGCGCTGAAGGCCTTTGCCACGGCGATTTTGCTTCAAGATGCTTAAAGAATCCGCGCACGGCACGACGACACGTGCTATGCCTGTGAGGTTCGCTCCGAGTCACCTTGCATGCAGATGCAGGGACCCAGAGAGCCCAATACCCCTTAAATAAGGAATATACCTTAAATTATAAGGGCCTTAATATTAGGATTTAAGGTATATTCCTTATTTAAGGGGTATTGGGCTCTCTGGGGAGCTGCAGTTGTGTGGACCCAGGCCCACGCGAGGGTACTATGAAACACAGCAGAGGGCCACTTGGAAGACAACAACCGAACAGCAAAAACCCCGGAGCGCGCCAGCCTCCGGACAACCTCTAGAGTTCTGAAGCACCGTTCTGAAGGACCAACCATTGAATTTCTTGGTGGGTGCCTTGAAACTGTTGAAGTAGATATGTTTGCCCCTGCGCCTCCAAGTTGCACGCTTGGGGTCTAACGAGCAGTTGCTGACGAAGCGGCGGAAAACTCGCAGAAACGACGTCATCGGGGAGCTGCTGCTGCTGGTTCCCCGGTTGCTGTTGAGCTGGCCGGCGATTTTCGCACATCCCGACATACCTGCTAGGGCTGCTAGGGCAATCTTGTAATAAGCACAATCGAAGAAGGGCAATCGTGGTACTGATCATAGTGACAACCGCTAAACAGTGTCATCATCATGCTGATAACATCTGGTAACCGTGGTGATGGCTTCTGCAGCTGAGACAGAAAGGAGTGTCTGAACAAGTTTGCTGACCGAGAGTCGGATGAACTGGGCAATCTTCGACTCGAGCTGCTTCAGCTCAGCATGCATGACCAACTGGTCCTGGAGTTCGACCATTCTGCAGGGCAACGTCGCATCCAGCTCTCAGTTATACTTGCAACCTTCTTTTAGGTGGGCCGAGGTGCAATCGCACGTGCTGGGCCTTTGCAACGTAGAATGCCATCGATAAACTCCTCTCTCGTAACCTGGCAAGATATGTGGGCCACCACCACCACCACCACCACCACCACCACCACCACGACCACGACTTTGTACTGATGGACTTTGACGGTGAACGGCTTGAGTCATGAGCTCAATCGAATATAGATGCAACCCTCACATCCCCGAACGCTGAAACCAAAATTCCAAAACCGTCCAAATCCGATCGCTTGCAAAGTCACTGCTTGGGGTGACAGGAAAACCACACTAACTACACCTTCAAAAACCTCAGGCGGGTTTGATCTTCCTTCCTCTCTGGCACCTCACCGTCTCCGTTGTCCAAAATGCGAAACAAGGCAGTACCTTCGTGCCTCAGCCCAGGTGGTTGTGGAAAGGGCTTCAGTCGGACCCAAGCACCAGAAATGAGAAACGCTTCAGCACTGCACGCGGCTGCTTACTTTGGATTTCGGTTTGGGTCAACTGCGGGTCTCCGCATGTTTCGGAAACCTTTAGTGGAAATTCACTGCCAAATTACAAACTATCAAACCACTTCAAAGGACCATGTAGTCATAGGCCTCCACCGCAATTCTGCTTGGGCGGCCCTTCTGTCCCAGAAGACCGTTCCACATGAGCCTTCGTCATCCCTTCCCCCATGTATTCAACACCCCCCCCCCCCCGNNCAATCCTCCGGAAATCATCCCTGCCCCTTGAAACTTAATTTGCATAAGGGGGTCAGGAGCACGGGAGGAGTAATAGCGTCAGCAAAAGCAAGATCAAACACAGAAAGGAAGAGCAGAAGCAATGCAAGAGCAAAAGCAAACGCAGGAGAGAGAGCAAGAGATGCAGCAGGAACCCCCACCCCACCACCCCACCCATAAGCCTTTCCAGAATCCCTACTTTGCAACCGGTTGCGAACGCTGACAACGTCAAAGCCTGGGCATCCTTTACAGCAACCATGCAGGTTGGAAAGTCGTGCTGGTTGCAATGTGGGCGTTCTTAAGCCGAGTCCGAGACATATGTGTATGTATATATATATATATATGTGTGTGTGTGTGTGTCTGTGTATACATATTTATGTACACTATCTTGGCTTGAACGGTTATGCGTGTTCGTAAACAGGGACTACGCAATACTCAGTATCTTTGTCTTGGCTTGCACGTTTTTGTGTGGTCGTCGACAGTGAATACTAAGCAATCTTTATCTTGGTTTTAGCGGGTGTGTGGTGTCGTAGACAGATTCTGAAAGCCACGAAAGTCTCTGTTCCAGGAGTTTCATGTGCAGCTGGCCGTTTCATGTTGTTGAAACATATTGCACGGTACTATCAAAATATACTGTGCTTTTGTAACAGAAAGTTCTGTAGCAGGTTCGCATGCGGGTTCTGCTGCGTTTAGGGGCCGGGTATAGGGTGTGGGGAGAGCGTTGGGGCTCTAAGGACTTTAAGGTTTTGTGGCATGTCACTGTGTCTTGGTCGCCTGCGCGTGGTGTGAGCATCCATGTCCATCCGTGAGCAGAGCGAGTGGGAGAGGGGTTCCGGAACCCGGATCGATATGCATACTATCGGGGTCTGGATATCCCATGCCCTCGACAGGTCTGGAAATTGAGGGGCCTCGAGGCACTAGCAAACCATCAGGGAGCTAGGTAGGTTGGTTGTAAGACAGCGCCCCTCGTATCGGGGCGTGTCGGGCCTGTTTGGAGCTTTGGAAGGACCAAGCCCGTTTATGAAATCCCAAAAGGGCCTTAATCATAGTAAGACATGCAGACATGCAGACGGGTTGCAAAGTGTGCGTTCTGAGGATCGACAGTTGTAAGGTGAGATTTTCACATCGAAAACAGTGTCTGTGGTTGTAAAGTGGGGATTCTGGTTGTAAAGTGGGGATTCTGGAAGCGGGTTAACCTCCAACCCCCACCCCCGCCCCCACCCCACCCCACACCCCACCGCACCACATCATGAGATCCGCATGGTCCCAAGCACATCGGATGTGGAAAGAAAACTTTTTGAATGGAAAGTCATCCACAACTCGTACTGGATTGAGTATGAACTTCTGCGAAAAAACGAATATGAAAACCATGAAATTCCATCTTCATCCGGTGACAGACGGTAACATACGAGAACCTACTTCTGTTGGAAGACGAACTCATGAAGAGCGCAGCAGGTCTGGCTCTGTGCGTTGTCTTCCATGGGAAACCTCCCGCTTAGCGGAAGTCATGGTCAACAAACACTAACCCCCCAGGTACCTACTAAAGAGGGCCCTAGGGGCTCCAGCAGACTATATAGTGGGCACCCGGGGGGTTACGGAAAGCAACTGGCAGACGCACAGAGTGCGAGCTGTACTGCGCTTCAAACTGGACCATCACTCACGTTAGTAATATTCCTGTCTTCATGTTGGAACCATTCTTTGGGCCTTTGGGACAGATGGGTCTCCAAAGTGGAACGGCAATGGAGGGCGATGATGTAAGCGCCCGGAAAGCAACACAATCCGTACAAGGCAACAGAAGCACAAACCCCATAATATCACAACAGCTACGGTCAGGTCTTTCGTGTTGTTCCACACAAATGCATTTGGGCGGCACATCGAGGTCCAACGTCTCAAAGTAGGCTTTGACAGTTGGATCGTGGAGGAGACTGTTCAGCCGAGCCTGTTCAACAGAGCATCAGCGGCTCATGTCCGCGCAATTTCTGCGAAGGGGTAATGCAACATGCAGGCATCTTGGGAGGTGTAAGAGGGATTAAGGTTAAAAGGGCATGAAATGAAGGTCTGGAAGTGCCGGACCCCCAAACATATGCGCAATCCGAAGCGGCAACCCGCTTCCGCATGGTTTGGATCTCCTACACACGCCTAAATGGAAGCTAACGCTTTGGGTATCGGGTATGCAACTCCGCTAGGCTGGCTTTCGTGACTTGCAGGAAGCACTGAACGTTCGAAAGCCGCATGGACAACATAGGACGTCTTCGAAGCGTTTCGGGAATTGTGGATATTGCTGACATGGTTGCACACCGAAGGAAGCAACTATGCAGTTGGAAGAGGAATGCGGCAACTCAGCAACCCGAAGTGTGCCAAAACAGCCGCACTCGAGGCACTGCACATAATATTACGTGGCATGCGATGTGGATGGCCACAATAATAGCTATGGGGAGCTCCGCTAGACAGGCATCGAGTCGCAACACCCAGTGACCTCTGTAATGACACCAGACTCGTCGATCGCTTTGAACATTTCGTCCAACTTGCGAGTATACCTTAACAAGAACTTGACGACTTGCAGGAACATGTAGTGTAAACATGCAACTTCATACAGTCGGAAAGTTCGGCATGAGTGCATGTCCTTTCGATTGCTTCAAGATGCAAAGTCCTTTTGCGCATTTGCACCTTCAGCTGGTGTTCAGCATCGCTCTGCGCTGCATCCAGGCTGTCCTGCACATCTTGTTCTGGAAAAATAACAAAGAGCTTCGGAATCTTACACAATTTGCCGAACATCATGTACCGCTGGCAACAGGCTGTTCTGAAGTTACTGATATCACCTTATACTTGAGCTGAGAAAGAAGAGGACAGTTCAAGTTCGTACAATATCTTTGCTTGGTTGAGCTACGAGGCTACAATGTAGGGTCCGCTCAAGTTAACAAGCTGATCGACGTGCCTGCGTGCCAACCGGCGAGCTCTCCGGTAGGAAACCCCCACTTCAATTACGGCTAAACATCCCCTTATCCTTCAACAGTAACAAAACCCTCAAGCACTGCCCAGCCTTCAAGAACACGGCAGTTATCACCCTCAGGATAGCAAAAACCTGGGCGCTTCAAGGAGGCACTTTAACTGGTTGTGGTTCTTAGTTGTTCAGAACCCTAAGGAAAGAAAGGCTACAGGAGCGACCCTTCCGCAAGCTACGAAACACCCTCGAATGCACCGGCCGGTTTAGGCGAAGGCGAAGAGGTCACGACCGGAACTTGCAAATACCATGTAAGCATGGGCCGCCTTCAACGCTGAAAGGTAACGCCTTGCATTTCTCACCCCCGACGGTCTGGTCTCGAAAACACTGCCGGGTTCAGACTTCCACGGTTAGAACTCGCCCTTAGCCCCTTCTGGTCGAGGGTGGTGCCTTCAGTTACAGGCACCGCCACTGATTGAGTTTGCGCAGCCAACAGGGGATCAGCTGAGCGTGCTTTTTCCCTTAGTCTTGCTGCCGGTGCGTGTGTGCGTGTTTGGTTCGGCCACCCCGCACCCCAAGCCCCTTTTTCTCCGGGCTTAGTACCCGTGTGAGGGATCACAGGGGGAAGAGCTTCGGCTTCTGTTCCTGCGAAGTGGGCTGTCTTGCCAAGTGCCCAAATCCGGCCCAAGCCTCGGGCCCATGGAGGTTCGGGTGGCACTTT